CACTAATACATTTCAACTGTACCTGTTCGTTAGTGGAATTTTCAAAAAAATTTCATGTTTACTCAAAACACTCGAGCGCACTAGACATAAACTTAAAGGGACACTCCATCCTGGAAACTGCCGCGCTAGAAGTAAACAATCTTAAACATAAACATACTGGCGATTTCAGGATGATATACATGTACCCTTTAAAACAAAACTAAAGATTTGCTACGATTCTTTTGAAATTTGTTCCTGGATAAATTTGCTGTCACCGTAGAGCTATAAACAAAGGATGATGATTATACAACATCGAACTGAAAATTTGAAGACCAATTTTGGATCATGAAAAATCACGTACCCGGTACATGTATCCATTGTTCATTATTTTCAACATACATGTACTGTGCTATAATAAAATAACATACAAGTACATACTTGGGCTGTCAGAACATGGAAATTAATACGAACACATGTTAACGGACATAAACATGCATTTATCTCACCATCATTCATGGCCTCCGATGGAATTTCTTGTCACACCCACATTAATCAAATCATGAGCAAATTTGGGAGATAAACGTCATCCTGCAGTAGTCACTGACTAAAATGCAGACATCAACATGCAGACGTGATCCGTGACCTTATAGCCAACTACCAAGAGAAAGGGACTCGGGTAGCTTGGACACGGTATCACCTTTCAAACGCGTCAACATCATGGTCTGCGTACCCTAGCTTGTTGGATCAGCAGGATGAGCAGAAGATCAGTCGCCAAATGAAGATGAAGGGAATACTGATCCAATTCCACTAGGCATTTACAGTAACTTTACCAGATGTCCACTGGATATAAATAGCTGTAGGAATGTCACATGTGAATGAAATGAAGACGCTCCTGTTGCAGGAGTACAAAATTGGTCCGAGTCTCTAAACCCTTGAGAATGTGTTATACAGGGAAATGATGAAGAGTTTATGAATTTTGGAATTTTGTAAATTTGATGGGCATGTGGGGAAGATTTTACTGAATATTTAGAGAGTCCAAGATGATACTTCGGAAAAGATTCAAGTATACATAACAGAAACTTAACTTAAGAAAGAACTTCAAAAAATGTGAAGTGCAGGGGGCAGAGAATCTGGCAATAAGATTTGTTTTCAGGATTTTTTGGCAATGCCCCCCCCCCCAAAATGCCCATCAATTTTGTTGTTGTTACATTATCAAGTACTGAACTTATGCCCTGAGCTAAAAAACAACAATTCCATGTATCTCCGCTTTCATTTCAATACTGAAACCGACAATGTCCCCCCCCCCCAAAAAAAAACATTTCCCATCAATTGTTTTTTTTTTTTTTACAACATCAAGCATACCCTGAGCTAAATAAACAATTCCATGTATCTCCGCTTTCATTTCAATACTGAAACGGACAGTTATTCCCCCTTTATGTTCATTTCCCTATCATTGGCCCCTCACCCTCACATTTCCTCATGATCAGAGTTTTTACCCAAAGGGATGGCCGTGACGTTATCAGCGAGGAAAGACCTTAGCATTTAATCTCTAATTACTTCGGGAGGGGAGAAACTGGATTAATCTAATATTGTGTCTGTCGTTAAGACACAGTCTGTCCGACTGGGAGGCGAGAGGATTGAGAAAATAAATCAAAATGATAACTGGTTCTCTGGAGGTACCGGTACCAGTGACATTTCATCATCGCCCTAAGTGGGCTGAGAACGTGACTTTAGCATCACATCTGTTACACTACTCAAGGAATGAGTTTAGATATTTCTCAGTTACTCAGTGTTTTTGTACCCGAAAGGGCACTGTCCAATAACCTCAAGGATGGATCCAAGGAGGGAGGAGGGGGGGGGGGGGTTTAACCACACCAATAACCATGTCATCTCTCAATATTGCAAATCTTGGGTCAATGCTTCAGGCTTTTGTATGCATTGCCTTTAACACCTAGTCCAATCTAGTCACAAAAATGTAGCACTTCGACACCTAAGTCACCCCCTTTTCGTAAATCCTGGATCCGCCACTAAAACTTAAATCCTCGATGCTGATTGGTCTTCCCCAAGTTTTTCCAATTGTCAAATTTTCCAATGGCCTTCCCACTGAAAATTTGTTTCAGATTGGCATTTGAAAATTTGGAGGGTAAATTTTACATGAATTAAAAACACAGGTTGTCCAGGATGCTAAAAAAATGTTTTATGGCTTACCTTCATTAAATAAAACTCCTGTGTTCCCCAACAGCCTGATATCCCATGAACACCTAGACCCTCTGGCTCCCAATGCTCAATGAAACACCCACAATTTTGTTGGCAGTTATTTATAACCAAAACCACTGTCACACAACCACACGTCCTTCCAGAGAGTTTAAGTTCTCATACAAAAAGTTCTCATACAAAAAGTTGTTGGTGTGGAAACACCCCAAAACTGCTTCAGTGGTTTTGGATACAATACACAATGAATGAGACATTCATTTATGGTCTAACAGGCAGTGTTTCAGGTGTCATGACCAAAAAAGCACTGACGATGTTGTCTTGGTCCTGAACAGCGGAACAAACAAAGACCCATCAACGGAGTGCCAAGAATGGGCAGAATCTTTTTTTTATACAACTGTTCAAATATTGATACGACATTGATCATGTTGATATTGGCCTGCGCAAAGCAAATAATGTCACTCCAGTGAATGATGAACTTCCTTATTTCTTGGTAGGCAAGTTTTGTGAGAGAGGCGGAACATCAAATTTGAAGTTCTCAAATTTGCTTTCATTTTATTCCCAAGCAACATGTTAGTGAGACCAATCATAGCAAACCCCATTATTTCCGCTTGGTTGTTGCCAATATTTTCCAGTTCAGAGATATGACAAAATGAAATGCTCAATTTATACACATTGTACACTGTTATCTTTTCTAAATCACTACACTTTCTTCTTAGCGAAGTGAAGCCAGATTTGATTTGCAATATATTTTCAATTTCCCATCGGTTGAGAGCCCGTTGCGTGGGTTGTTTTAAACCACCAGTAAAACACCGCTGCATTTGTGCCACATCGCGCAGTATGCGCCACGCCAGTGCCCGTATCTAGGAGATTTTTAGCACTGCATGCGCAAGGCACATACCATAGACATGGCCAGAGGTGTGTTTCACAAACATGAAGTAGAATTGTTGAACAGAATCTTTGGAAAGTTGAATATTTTTGACTTGCTTTGACTCTTTACCAAAAGGTCGGCTTCGGCTCCAGCCATTATCCACATCCAGGGACCTCGCTGGTTTTAACCGTACCGGTACTTGTGTAATATCAGCCAAGCACATATTTATTCCCTTATTTGTGATGCAGGATCGATCTTACAACAGGAACCCCACTTAAATCCTAAGATGTGTTGTAAGATAAGACGAGTTCCGTCATAGTGCCCTTCCATCTCGATTTTTTTAATGAGACCTGTAAGGCTGTATGGGTTCAAACCTGCGTCATTTGCACATACTTCGGAGGGCAAATAACAAATGGATTTCATGCACTGAATTGACACATCCTATATTTAGTTACATTCAAAGCGTACACTTACCTAGAACAAATGAACGTTTTTCTCTGTAGTACTACTAGCATGAGATGCTTTCCTGCCTATTTTCAATATGGAAAACTCGCAAGTAACTTCACTTGATAAATCCCAAATTGTCAATACCCCTCCCACTCCCTTCTCTAGAAAACCAAACACCCTGTGGGTCAGGATTTCTTGTTTTAAATCCTTTATAATCCAGCTGACAGGTTCTAAAACTAACAGTTACATCATAAACAGCTTGGCATGCTAGGCAAAGGTGAAAGAATTGGTTGCGGGTTATCAACAACACGCTGATAACAGTTTCCTGCTTATACTTGCCTGATGTCAACAACTGAGTCAGATTTTATTGACAGTTCAAGACCAAAGTGTCAATAAAAAAATGTTCCCATGTGCCTTTGAATTGATAAAACTTGAAGGTCAGGCTATTCAGGTTTTTATACAGTGTCTGAAAACTATGTGATCCTACATCACATCAGACTTGTTACTAAACTATGTCCCTTCTCAAACTTGAATCAAAACACCCCATTGTTGGGCAATAAAGCATGGTTAATCTTGCTCTATGGTTCATCCACAAAATAAAACTCCAGAACAAACTCTATCACTATCAGTGATTCAAAGGCATGCAACTGGGAAGTCACAAGAAAAGAGGAAACTGCAAGCTTTACAAGTCTCTCTGCAGTGTCTTTCAAAGTTTTAATGGTACACAACAGAAGTTAAAAAAAGAGGAAATCAGAGGATCTGAGGAAAAGTTGCATGCCTGCTGATCAATACAGGTACATTTTGTACATCAAAATCATATATGATTCAGTCACAATTTTTCAGAACCCTTCACTCCACCTAAACAAACATGGGACATAAGTTGACGAGGATTTGCGGGGGGATATGCAGCTTTGCTGCCCGTTGCCCGCTTCGTGGGCGAGTTGCTCGCATCATTAGAGAATGTCTTCTTTGCAGGCTAACACATGCGAAACACGCGATCAACTCATGAACACGTAAACCCACACATGTACGTTAACAGCCTTTGCCCTTTATAGTATAGTGACACTATAGTGTTGGCTTAAGACTTTCCAATAAAAAATGTCATCCACTGAAAAATTCCCAGTACGATTGCACATAATGGAAAAAAACCTGCCGACTCCTTGGTGTGTTGTGCAAATAAATGCCATTGTCTATCAGGCATGATGACTTTTCCTAATTATGAGGCAGGTAAAGCAGGACTTGCACCTTCAACAGAAGCTTTCTATATTGTGAACTGTGCTTTACTGTGAAAACTCAATGTGAACAATATCATTTGGAGGCAGGCAAAACAAAACGACACTTGACAATGTGTACGCAAACTTGCATAAGATTCAGTCTTGGATTAGTTTTCAGCAAATTTTAGCACCCTGAGAGCATCTTGCATCCATCTCTCAGCACCCTTACATTTTCTCCGTTCCAGTCTTGTACTCGGTCTCACAGATTGGTTACTTACCATAAACTGATACCGCTGTACAGTACCTCCTCCAAATCAGCAACCTCTTCAACAATATCTGTGGGGCCTGTAACGGAAGAAGGATGCATCAACAGTAAGTAATTAGCATCTACGGGCATACATGTGCATGGTATTTTCAAATCACTGACCGCAGTCCAGTAATACTACCAAGTACCAACTGACATTAAAGGGAAAATACAACATTTGCAAACATCAAAAAATAAAACTACCAAATCATTTTGAAATACCTTGCTGGACTGTTAGTGAATGACAGTGTAAAGCATCCTGTAAAATCATGGCACCTGGTGTACTGTCATTTTCAAGAAAAGTGGTATTTTTGTATCAATTTCCAACGCTGATCGGCCGATCAGCATTGGAAAAGACTGGCTTTTTTTCAAATACTGGCCCCAGTTGACCATCGCACTTGTTTGCAATCGATTACACACCTATGAACGTGTACAAGCCAGCTAGACTGGTTCCCTGACCTTACAATTCCCCAATATATGTAAACTGCTCTGTTTCTTCTTAAATGGAGTCAGGGAACCAGACTACAGGAAAAGATTGTTTTTCTTGGTTTTTATAGCATTTTCGAACCCAAAACCTCAAAAAAGTCAGTGTAACTATATTTGCTATATATTTCCAACCCCCCAATTCCATCCATTTCTGAAAATTACAGCAAAAGCAAATGATGTATATTCCCTTTAAAGGGTCCATAAGATGACTTTTTCTTAGGAACACATTTTGTGTAACTTTCCACTCCTTTCAAATATATGAAAACTATTTGACATTCCTTTTTGGTTACTTTTATTGAAAAGTGCACTTCTTTATATACGTTTTTAAAAATGTCCATGCTTTTCCGGACAACTGAGGGCACTCTTGCTGTAATGTCATTTCAGAAAGACATTGTTTAGTTTTAGGTTTCTTTCTGTTCAAATTGTGAACCCAAAAACGTGTACATTGAAAACATTTGTGAGAAAAGTTTGCTCACTGGCTAACTGCCATGTACTGACACAATGAATCACCAAAGGAAAGACAATTTACAACTGCAAAAAATCCAAAATTCTGGCAATGTTTGGTGCTGAAATAGCTGTAACATTGAGGTTTCTGCATGAAATGACATCACACTTTTGCTCCTGAATATGGAAAATTGCATTAGCATAAAACCAAAAGGGCACCTTATACCCTTGAAAATGGGAAAAAAGAAAATTGAAAACAAGGTTAAAAACGGAACTCAAAAGTGAATTTTCAAGGATTGCATAAATAAAATACATTGCATGGGCCCTTTATCTAAGTGGCAATAAGCAAGGTCTGACAACACCATGTTCTGCTTATTTATTATGCACTTGTTTTTTGGAACGGTTTCAATCATAGATTTGTCCATTTTGTACGTGACCTAATATCAGGTGTACACTTATCAACTTTAAGTGATTGGAATTGGCAAACCAGAGCTACGAATGCCAGGGTCTCATTTCTAAATCACAAATTACAATCAGTGAAACGTGCACTGCATCTGAACATCAATCCATATACTTGACAGTGTATGATTAATGTCACACAGCAACTGCTCATTACTTGTGCAGTTGCTTTGAGAGTGCTGTTTATGAATAAATTTTGTGAGAAAAAAAATCCCACAAATTTTACGGGCAATTTACAGAAAAAAATATTAATTTATTAGTACATGTACCATTATTACATGTAGCATACAAATGTTTAGAAAACACAGAAAAACCCCCAGCAAATTACACCCTTTGAAATAACTATTTAACCCAATCTAATTTTTGTTCTGGTTCTTGTTGAGATCTCAAGAGTCAATATCATTTGCCATATATTTTGTCCAATTCAATTTGAAGGTTGGCACAGTGAGGTTATCAATAGGTCTCTCTAAAATGACATCACTTCGTACAGATTGCAGGCATTTGGGCATCAAATTGTCGTGACGCACATCGGCTGCACCGTATTTCGAAGAAATTTCGAGCAACACGCGCGCGTTTAGAACATTCTGCACACTGCGTTGAACACGCAGTTTTGTAATTTTCCTACGAAGATGGCCTCCTATGAGAGAGATAGTAAAGTGGACATTTTTGGCCACACAAAGTACATGTACATGTAACAATAAATCTTCTTTTTTTGAGATACACAGTATTATTTTTCAGAAGACCATGCATAAGACTAGGCCTATAAATTGTTTCAGTGTTAATATATTTTTCAATCTGTGCGGCTACTGTACCGTAGGTGTACATTTCGTCATCCAGCTTGTGCCGAGTTCTTGTGAAAATCCATACAATGTCACCATATGTCATTCAGCATTTAAATACAAGCACACCTCATTATGGATCCTGACAACTGATTAACAAAGCTCCAATTGAGCAATCATTACAACTGAGCTATTAACTCATGCCTTAATATGATTAGTCATTGTTTCCACAATTCATCCAATAAATGACAGGGTCATTTTAACGACTTGTAGTTGGTAATTACCCCCCCCCCCCCCCGAACGCCATCCGGATGGATTTTTTTCGCAGAAGTGGCCTTCACGACGATAAAATATTCATCGTTTTGGGGCTTCTGCTACTGTTGCTGCAGCACAAAAGTACAGTGCCTCAGTCCTTCATTTAAAGAAAATCCAGGAGAGCTATAAATCGCTCTCCTCAAATATTTGAGGAGAGCAAATCGCTCTCCTTAAAATGTACGGATAAACAGCGGTAAAACGACGGGTTACCATTGTTTTTGTTTTATTTTGAATATAACGATTTATTCAAGGGGCTGCATTATTATTAGTTTTTGCATAATAACATATGCTCAAGTTGCGTTACTTTTTTCGTTTTTGTAACTGTAAGACAAGGTAAAATTTATTTTAAAAAACTAACTAAATGGAGATTAATAAAAGGTTTGACTACTGCTTAGGCTTTCATTTTTTAATACAGCCTGTATTAAAAAATGAAAGCCTAAGCAGTAGTCAAACCTTTTATTAATCTCCATTTAGTTAGTTGTCAGTTGGTTCATCACTTGATTATACTTTGAAAATGGAGAGTTAATAAACAGCACATAAAGCAACTGAATATTTGCTTTCAGATTCGTTAAAATTACATGACATTTTCAGCCAGAACTATTTCAATTGCTCTACGAAAGCTATACAAAAAGGGCCTCAAAATGACACAAACTTGCCTTAAGTTTTATCAAAAATATTTGCCGTCGATAATCTTAAAAATAATGGAAAATGCAGGTCAAGTATGCCATATACACAATGCTAGTCACGACGAGAAACTGGCTAACAACGTCTGAACTTCGCACTAGTACGAGCGTTTGTGATGCACTGTGTGTGGTGGGCCGGCAATGAGACTCGTTTTACGGTATAGGATTTCGGTGAAACACGTACGCTGCATCGTTTCACTTCACATACCAGTAAAACTTCCTCAAAATAAATTTATGAACACGGGAAATACATACACAGACAAGGAAGATCAAGTTCTGTGAATAAGCTTGCAAAGATCGTCCTTCTCAATCGTTGTTTTCTTGGCATTCACGATGTCTATTCCGTCCGGCCTGCACGCAAAACACTGTACGGCAGTGCATTGCACCGGCCGCGACTTTTACATTGACTGGTTACCGCATTTTCATCATGCCTTCATTGGGACTTAGTGCGCGGCGCAGCGGGAACCAGTCATTGCTGCACTCGCACGTACGGGCCCACGTGTTTTCATGCAGCTCTATGCGATTTGCAGATTGTGCACGCACAGTATACAACCGCTGTACACACACGATCTTATACAGTACGTACGAGCTCGGTGTTCGTTCATTTTTAGCGATGTCCAGCGGCATATTAACGTGAGTTTGGGCATTATACCAACGAAAAATACGTGTAGCTTAAGACTTAAAATCCTTGCGTTTTTATCACTTCTTATTTTTAAACTTCCCGTGTTTGACGAGCCCTCTTTTGGATTTCTGAGGAGCGCTATTTTTGGCGCTCCTTCGAGACAGTCGAGGAGCGCAGTAGGAGCGCCTGCGCGATCGCGCTCCTTAAAAATGAAGGACTGGTGCCTTTAGTAATAATGGTGATAATTTGTTTGCGCTTAAATTTGAGTGGACAGAAGGCAACTAGCATATGTACACGTCATTCACAGAAAATGTTTGTAATTTTAAAATGACTGAAAATGTTTTCCAAATGCTTTCTACTAGGGGTCTTTGCGTAATGAGTGAAATAGATTGTCTATTACATTTTTTTGCTGATCAAAACGATCATTCATTTCTCTTTTTTAACTTGATGCTGATGAAGGCAAAAAAGGGTGCTCATTTCATAACAGTACAATTCCGTAACAGTACGAGCTATCAATTTTCTCCCATCTTTTTTAAACATTACAATTTCCACATACATTTTTTTGTAAATGTGTGACATGAAAATGTATGAAGCTGACATCCGTGGCATTTCAATCTTATAGCTGACATTTGAGTACAGCAGCTTTTAAAGTTCAGACACAATTTACAGTCAACTCTGAATGCCCGAAAAACAATTTCAGACAGTAATTTCTCAGGTTCGAAATGTAAATTTAATTCATTAACAACCTACACAGACCTTTAAGTGAATGGGATATCATTATGTGACAAGTTTCCTTCAGTTAAATGGTTTCAGGAGCATAACAGCGTTGTCAGATCTGACAGAAAAATGTGCACTAAAATCTGAAATAATAAAATGTATCATATCATACCTTTTCACACTCGTATCTGAACATCATTTCAAATACATTGTACTTTTCCAACCTACATGTGTATTGTTCAACAACATTCAGTGTTTATAGTGAGACTAATGGACCCTCTGGTTGTTTTGACAGAGAGGCTCCAATGGCAAGATATGGCGTTATTCTAATAGGTTTTATACAATAGCTTACAAATAACATGAAAGAGTTTCTTTGCAACCAGTGCCGGGTCTGGTGCCCCCTCACTTTTATTCCAATAGTGATCTGCGCAAGAACAGCACAAATGACTGCCTGATGTTCACATGGAGCATCAGGCCACAACAGAAACATTTCATACTTCACACGACTGCCAACCAATTCGACGTCACAAAAACAT